GACCAGGCTCTCACATCACCAAGCGCGAAGCGCCGTGAGATATTCGGCGAGTCGCATGAAGGGTGAGCTGCATCCTGCTAAGGGTGTTCGGCATCTTATGCTTACTTCCTTGCGTACGGATGACAGCTGCGTATGAATTAATTTACTTTCTGGTGCTTTCACTTCCAGAGACAGTTGTAAGCACTGTGTAACTGCCTCGAGGGTGCTTGACCATTTCAACACAACGTGGTGCGATCATCCCCCTTGCGCGGAGCGAGTGTTCTCCACCCCGCACAACATGATCTACTCGACCACCATTATGGTTACCGCCAAAAAAAAAACCGGAGGTAAAAAAAAAAACGGTAACCTGGTTGCCGAGTTCACGAAGTGAATTGGCTTGTTTTACAACGTCTTTGCCAAGAGACGAAAACCCAATCCCGATGGCAAAACCGGGTGGGGCGGCTTGTTTTACAACGTCGTTGCCAAGCGACGAAAACCCAACCCCGATGGTAACCACCGGGGGGGACGTGATGTGGTGAAGGGGGGGGGACAAAGGGCACGAAATGCCTGCCCGCGGGAAAAGGGAAGTCCAGGAGGAGCGCGAGGGACGACTGGGGGACCGCAGGAGATACGGTCGTTATTCCGTGTCTTCCCGGAGTTGAAACTTGTCCACACGGTCCATGTGTCCCGACCTGGGTGAAACGCTGCGGGACAATCTTCCAGTGCGGTCGAATGCTTTTGAGCCGATTTTCTTTTCTCCGTTGTTTTCGTTGTTGTAGGCTTGGAGTGTTGCGGATGACCTCAACTGCTGTGAGCGGATCGGGAATGAACGGCGCTTGTCAATATGCTTCTGCTGCTTCTCTTTCTACTGCTGTTGCCTCTGCTTGCGCGTGGTTGGGGATTGGTCGGTCGGTGGGGATGCTGGAGAAGTTTTGTCGCCGCCGCTGCTGCTATATGCCCCTGCGCCTAAGAATGTTACCCTCGGCGGGCGTTGCTCGGGACTTTTTCTGTTTATTCCCGCCGCTGCTGCTGTTGCTCGCACAGGCCTGGCGCAAGCACCTCGAAGCCAACGCGGACCCAAGGTGCGTGTCCATCGTGGCGGGTAACAAGTCGGACGTGAGCGACCAACTGGTCAGTCCGAAGGACGGGGAAGCCTACGCTAGACAGGTGAGCTGCGGGTATGTAGGATCCCCGCAATGTTGGAAAGAAAACGTACGCGCCTACACCTACATGCGAGCGAAATTTCGCCCCCCAAGCTTGCAGGTAGGCATGGAACGAAGCGCCCGCTGACCCCTCCAAGTGTGCCGCCCGTTGTCGAAGTGGACCACGACGCGGGACCCCCCTATTAATTTTTCATGTACTCCATGGCGGTGCCCCTCCGCTCACTTTTGTTTTGTTTGAGTTGGGCTTGACGTTGTTGTCGACGTTGGCCAAGACGCAGAGGACACCCCGCCCCCCCTCGACAAACAAACCGTCTCTCCCCGCCCTTTTTTGTTTCTGTGGTTCTGTACCGGGGCATGGCGTTCATGTCCACATCGACCTAAGACGCAGAGGTACCCCGCACCCCACCCGACGACGTAACCCCTGCCCCCCATCATTTTTTCTTTTGCGGTTTTGCAGCGGGGCATGGCGTTCATATCCACTTCGGCCAAGACGGGGGACAACGTAGAGGAGGCTTTCGTGACGCTCGCAAGAAACATCCTGCGGGCGGGGCAAGGACGGCCCTCGACGGGGCAGGCAACTTCCCACAGACTGCACGTGAGTGCGAGTGCGACGATGGGCGTTTATTGCTGTGGGGATACTGTACGTTCCAGGCGCCGCTGCTGGGGTCGGCATGAAGTCTGCGGTATGGTAAACATTACGGTAACAACCTGCGTGACAGGACTATGGAAAGAACATCCCAGGCATGTCGCTTTGCTTCATTCTATGAATGCTTTGGATGTTGCCCATGTCCTCGATGTACCAACGCTTGTTGCAGCAGTATCTTGCGTTTTCCCCTACCCTCCTTTCCGGCGCTGTTCATTTATATCTCTTTCTCTCTCTCTCTCTCTCTTCCCCGCCCCCCCCCTTTCGCTCTCTCTCGCCCTGCCACGTGCGTCTACCATCCCTTATTGTCTCCCCGGCCTGTTTGGTTGTCTCGAATCTTCTCCCGACCTGTCTTCACGCCACCTTCTTCCTCCCTCCCGGACTCAGGGCAAGCCTCATCCTCAAGGGTCGCAGGACTGTTGTTGACTTGGTATTTCCGTAGTTCATGTCTGGCCATGCTGTTGTAGACATCTAGGTACATGTCCACCCCGGATGCAACAGTCCGACGCTCCTACGCTTCCCGGCCTCCCTTCGGAGTCACGGCGATTGCTGACTTACGGGTTTGGCGGTGCTACCGAGGACAACATGGACGAGTGCCGCCCCCACCCCCACCCCCCGACGAAAAATGAGAGGGCGCGGGGCCCCCGTGTTTGACTGGAGCGCGGGGGTGCACGGCTGTGCTGGCTGTGTGCTGGCTGGCGTTCACTCATTCGCTTGATGTTGCAGGTGGCTTGTTGCACGTGGATGTTCGTGAATATTTATTTCCGCTGGGTCATTTACGATGAGGAGTTAGGCAAGTCTAGGTATCTGGCGTCGAGGTAGGACGAATATTTCGTAAGACGAAATTGATTTTTTTTTCGGCGGGCATCGGCTGTTGCTCAACCCTCCCCCCCGTCCACACTCTTCTCCCCCCTTACTAGTTACGTGTTTTCGTTTTTTGTCGTTATTTTGTCGAGAGGATAAAATGCTCTTGTTTGAAGTAAATGTTGAGGAGTATCCCACGGGTCAGAAGGCAGAACTCGACACAGATCAGGCGTAGGATGACTTGACTCGATTGGTTACATTTTTCAGTCTTGTCGACCATACCTGTCCCCGACCCGCGGTAATTCTGAAAAATCGGTTGAGAAGCAGGACTGCCATGGATCAGAGTCATTCCATCCGTCCCGTGCGGAAGCACACGGATAAGATCGTTTTTCCCGGCGTTCTTTGTCCTCGGTCGTCCAACAACTGCGTAGTCTGTCATGTCTGTTGTTTTCCTGTAGTGATGAGTCCAGACACAGGTTATAGCTTTGCATGTGGAGTCCTCGCCTCAGCACAGCAGCAGTGGTGGCGGATATGCAGCTCGTAGGGTAGATCAACACATCGTTCTTCGCCGCCTCTTGACCGGACCAAAGTTATGTTGCTTTCGGTGATGGTTTCACGGGGAACGGGCGCATTGCGTGAGGTAGGTGTGTAGGTCGTTTGCGTGGTATGTTTTTGTGAAGACGTCACACCTCAACTGCCGTACACAAAGAAATAGAAGACGTACATGCAGCCCTTTCATAGGCAAACCCGTTGGCTCCCTACGAGCTTTGATCTGCGCAACTGGGTAGAGTTATTATGAAGTCAGTTGCCCTCGACAGCATGCAGAAGTGAAATAACAAGAAACGCAAATGCACTCAGACAAGATGCTGTGACCTTATCTTCCAGCAACGTGCTCTACAGTACACGACACAAGATCACACACCCTCTGGACCGATTTGAAACCTCGATTGCGCCATGACGAAGAAAATGCATAAACGAAACGCAGGTTTTGTGGATGGCTCTCGACAAGACGGCTTCAACGTCGCCGTTTTCGACACCGCTACTGTTTGTGCTGTGAAGATACCGAGCTTCGAAAATCGGTCCAGGGGTGTGCTGTCTTGTGTGGTATACAGCAGTACTTACTTCCTGCTTCCATGTGCACTCTCGAATTTGAAGGATCCGTCGGGCATGACCCGCGCGCCAAGTGTGCATGGGGCGAGCTACCCGTGACCTGAACCGTTTGCTGTCGTAGATCACGACTCGATTTGGAACCGTTCTTGCATGTCAAGAGATCGAGGCTGATCTGGCAAAGAATCTCGGTAGGGATGCCACCCGACGCAGAAAATGAGCTGATCCACCCAACCGTAAGAGCACAAGGTGATCAGAACCGACCGGTGGAACAGCCCTGGAACCGATCTTCCCAAGAAGCCGACATTACCTTGCTTCCCGTTGCGGTATCCGTCTCTATAAATCAGGGAGCACAGTTCAGGCCGTGACCCTCGGCAAGTCATTTCTTTCGTACGCGCGCATCCACACGAGAATGAGGGCGATGGCTTCGGAACAAGGCCGATGGTATTTGCACAGCCCGTAATCCTTCCCCGCATACCACCCGCGTCGCGTACAATGTTCCCAACTCTCCTATTTTGTGTTCGGTAGATAAGATATGTGTTGGTGTGCAGGAAAATAGTAGCAGATAAGATGCTCCCTGCCTGTTGGGTGTCTTAACGTTTGTGAATTTTGTCTATACACATGCAAAATAAACTCACTTCGCCCTCCAGCTAAGAATCGGCCGGGGGGGTACTCATACTCATAGTGCATGCCGCAGTCGTTAGACCATTGACCTCGCATCCCTACACAGCCGGGACGGAGAACGCCGGGTTCTCACTGGACCAGGCTCTCACATCACCAAGCGCGAAGCGCCGTGAGGTATTCGGCGAGTCGCATAAAGGGTGCGCTGCATCCTGGTAAGGGCAATCGGCATCTTGTGCGTACTTCCTTGCATACGGATGACAGCTGCGTATGACTTGATTTATTTTCTGGTGTTTTCACTTCCAGAGACAGTTGTAAGCACTGCGTAACTGCCTCGAGGGTGCTTGACCATTTTAACAAAACGTGGTGCGATCATCCCCGTTGTGCGGAGTGAGGGTTCTCCACCCCGCGCAACATGATCTACTCGACCACCATTATGGTTACCGCCAAAAAAAAACCAGAGGCGAAAAAAAACAAACGGAAACCTGGTTGCCGAGTTCACGAAGTGAATTGGCTTGTTTTACAACGTCNGTAAGGGCAATCGGCATCTTGTGCGTACTTCCTTGCATACGGATGACAGCTGCGTATGACTTGATTTATTTTCTGGTGTTTTCACTTCCAGAGACAGTTGTAAGCACTGCGTAACTGCCTCGAGGGTGCTTGACCATTTTAACAAAACGTGGTGCGATCATCCCCGTTGTGCGGAGTGAGGGTTCTCCACCCCGCGCAACATGATCTACTCGACCACCATTATGGTTACCGCCAAAAAAAAACCAGAGGCGAAAAAAAACAAACGGAAACCTGGTTGCCGAGTTCACGAAGTGAATTGGCTTGTTTTACAACGTTGTTGCCAAGCGACGAAAACTCAATCCCGATGGCAAACACCGAGGGGGGTGCTTGTCTTACAACGTCCTTGCCAAGCGACGAAAACCCAACCCCGATGGCACCGGGCGGGGGGGGGGGAAAGGCAAGGGGGTCTCGTCTACAGTTCTTTCGTTTCCCAGCTCGTCAAGAAACCTTCGTGCATGCATCGTTGCCGTTGTTGAATGAAACACGTTCAGCTCACAACGAACGACAACATGTTTCTCGGTATCGAGAATTGCACACTTCTACTTGCTGTCGGCTTTTTGCGAGAATATTGAAATCCCGTCAAAGATTGCTCCATGCGCGACCACCTTGTTTACGACGGTAGTTGAAGCCTCTCGACGGCAGGCGCAGAAATGAGGAAGAGTGCGGCAAATCGACCTGCTGCCAGTACCAGCCGCCAAGCAAAAACGTAAACAAACATGTCAATGTGTACAGTATGTAAAAATGTGCAGGACCTGTCCCCAATCGTCGTGGTAAAGTATTGTTTTGTTGGGCGTTCTCCCTGTATGTTTCGTCAGGCTTTTGGCTTGGTTTTTGAATATGTTAGTCGAAGCTGAAGAAGAATCTACTGTGTGGCAAGAATTTCTGAAAAACAATGCCTAGATATGTTTTCCCCCGGAAACAGTTGAGTTAGGCTGCGATGAACGTTTGCCCGACAAAGTCCAAACATTTTTGCGTGGCCATCAGCCGATTCTCGGGATCAGAAGTCGACCGACACAAGACATGTGAATGTCCGGGTGATATCAACAAGCACAAGCGGTCTACCTCATGACCCCATGTGTGAATTGCAAAGTCGATGCGTGGAAACATCGTATTGGGATGTCGATAGTGAATATGTTACTCTCATACGAGTGAAATTTGGAACATCCAGAGCCAGCCTGCAAGGACATGCTGAAGAAGGCGCACAGCTAGGCCTACATAAATAAGTCAACAAGTGAACACGCCGACCCATGTGCCTTCCTCCCGTGATGTAACTCCAACCCCCACAATATATAGTTTAACAAACAATACAGCGCTCCCCCTCGATGTTGTACCACACAAAACACCACAACCGGGCAGCAGCAGCAGCAGCAGCAGCAGCAGCAGCAGCAGCAGCAGCAGCAGCAATTCATTGCATGCACGCGTGCCCAGATGGGTTTTTGCTGGGTTATTCCGCCGCTACAAGTAAGGGCACGCACAATAAATGAAAAATGTAATGTATCACCCACAACAATGGTGCCACCAACGCTCACCGCAACCAGAAAACACGAGCAACTTTCCTATGTACGGGTCCTTCTGTCGGGGGGGGGGTCAAGGTCATCCCACACCCCGACCGAAAGAAAGAAATCCCTCATACCTCAAGGCTTCCGCTCACATACTACCAACACGCTTCTTCTCGTGGGGTCTGGGTCACCCTACAACCCGCCGAGATAAATCTTTCATGTCAACAAGACCTCCCGCTCACTACACTACCAACACCCCGCAGGAATGAATAAGGCTTGGGCTCGGTAGATACCAACACCTCGAGTTCGCCTCAGGGTATTTATTTCCTTCCGCCCTCTGTTATCTGACACATCTTGTCTTGCCACAATAAAAACCCTCCCAAGCTCTGCTCCACAATTACCTTCTAAAACCGTTCCCGTCCAACGGACGTGGACGCCTTCCGTAGCCACGTGGGCCAACTACCCGAACACAGGGTCCGATACACAAAACATTTTTCGGTTTGCTTGCTTGCGCAGAAACAAGTCTGGCAGTTGGTGCAGCTCCTCAGCAACCTGAACAATCAACTGCCACATGAGAACACTACCACACAGCTCCTCAGTCGCGACTATCGCAATATATAGCACGGTATCGTTGAGAGTACACTCGCCATCTCTCGCTTCACACCCACCGGAAGATTCCCTCCACGTTCTCAGCAGCAGGCGTAAGCAAGTCATTTCACGACCATGGCATGAACTCGGCCGCCCATTTCAGCATGAGAATGCCTCCTGACAAGGACGTGGGAGGAAGAGTGCGCACGCAAGCTCTACCACAATAGCAGCAACTGTTTGAGATTCACGGTGATACACCCAACATCCGGCGGACGCCCTGCATCGTCGCATCTTGTTGTTGCCAACACGACTAGCAGCGGACCATGCTGCTTGCTATAGCTTACTCTAGTCTTGCGGCCGAGGACCCACGGAACGACCGCTCGTATCACCGACGCCCGCACGTTCTCTCCCACTCCCACTCACTCTGTCCCCCTCACTCAATCCACTCTGCCGCTGTCTCAAAAGACAGTCAGCGCAACAACCCCCTCGGGCACACAGATGCGCCCAACACCACAATCCGAAGCGTCACACCGTGGCATCGGCATATCGCGTCCAAAATGAAGGGTGAAGATATCGCCAACGTATCGCACTACCCCCCCCCCCCCCCCC